CACACACACACACACACACACACACACACACACACACACACACACAGAGCTATTATTGTTCCCATTTCATGGGTTCTGAAACTGAGGTCTAGTGACGGTCAGGAAGAGGACTCTGGACTTGGACGGGGGAGTAGGTATGGGGACAGCCCACCCACTTATACCACCCTGCCTTCTGTCTCTGCATGAGGGAGCTCTGGCTGACTCAAACTCAGTTCACTTGGAAAGCCTCTGTGGGTGGTGGCGCAGCTGTGGTTCACACTTGACTTTCTTGGATCAGTCTTGCTCACCTGTGTTGCCACAGTAGGTACATGCTGATTTTTTTCCGTAACGTTCACTAATGAATCACCGAATGCCCGTCCCCCTGAACTTGGCAGGAGATGGTATAGAGTGCTTGAGTATTTTTCCCAGGGGTTCAGTTTCCTCATTTTTCCCTGCAGGGCATTAACAGTACCGGCTTATCTTGTTAACTAAGTGCTCAGCACAGGGCCGGCGTGCTCAGGAGGTGCTGGCTGTGGACTTTCCTACCTTGGCCGGCACCCAGACCTTCCTCATAGTACCGGGAGCTCACGGTCTTCCTACGAAGGAGAGGCCAGGCCCCTCACGTGGCTGTCTGTGTCGGTGCCTCTTTATCCATTTGGACCGCCACTGGCACCTTCCCCCACTTCTTCCCTCCGGGTCAGAGATCAACAGTTGTCTGAGGAAGCAGCACTCGACTTGTTCCATATGTGGAACTTGTGGGCAGGGCCTGCTGGGACACACGGACCTTCCAGCAGCTGTCACCTGTTTGGGGGACAGACAGGATCTAGGATTCATTCCAGTGGCACCCCTGGGCAGAGTCTCTGAGGGGTCCCTGGTGGCCTAGCCTCATCAAGACGGCGGCTCTGCTGCCTCTTGGCATTGTGCTTGCTGAGGGCTCTCCTCACGGGGCTGGGGTACCCCCCCCACCTTCCTGACCTGGTTCTCTCTTCTCTCTCCAATGCGGAAATGCGGACATTCTCTAACCAGAACTCTGCACACTGTCTTAACACAGTGCTTCTCAACCTTCCGAATGCCGTGACCCTTTAACACAGGGCCACCCCAACCCTAGCATTATTTTCATTGCTACTTCATAGCTGTCATTTTGCTATTGTTATGAATCACAATGTAAATATCCAATGTGTTTTCCAATTGTCTTGCCCCCAAAGGGGTCACAGCCCACAGGTTTAGAACCGCTGCCTTAACAGGAAATAGCTCAGGGAGTCTCCCCAGTGCCAACATACGTGAGGTTTTATTTTTGTTTTATGTAGCCTAGGCTAACCTCGAACTTCTATGCATCTAAAGATGATCTTGAACTCCTGATTCTCTTGCTTCCCCGCCTGAATGCTGGGATTACAGGCCACAACCACTAAACACTGGCTCTTTCTTTCTTGTTGTTTTTTGAGACAGGGTTTCTCTGTGTAGTCCTGGCTGTCCTGGATCCCGCTCTGTAGACCAGGCTGGCCTCGAACTCACAGAGATCTGCCTGACTCTGTCTCCCGAGTGTTGGGATTAAAGGCGTGCACCACCTGGTTTAACTCTGGCTTTTTTGATGCTAAGCATACCTTACTTCTTGCTCTCAGATGATGGGTCGTGATGACAGGAAGGTCAGAACACACAGGGAAACAGGCACAACGCCATCCTGCTGCTACCCCCACTCTCTGTGCGGGGGGGGGGGGGGGGGCCCTCTGTTCGGTCCTCCCCCACTCTGTGCGGTCCTCCCCCCTGTGTGGTCCTCCCCTCTGTGTGATCCTCCCCTCTGTGCAGTCCTCCCCCCCCTGTGCGGTCTGTCCCCCCTGCCCTCTGTGCCATCCCCTACCCTCTGTGTGGTCCCCCGCCCTCTGTGCGGTCCTCTGCCCACCTCAGCACCAGTTTTCACGGCATCTCACTTCTCCCTGCAATTTCTCTTCTTGTTGGCTTCTTTCTTCTTCCTTTTCTTGTTTTAGTCAGGGTTCCCTTTGCAGCCCAGTCCGCTATGTAGCTAGAGTTTGCTTTGAACTCTTGGTCCTCCTGCCTCAGCCTCCCCAGTGCTGGGATTACAAGCACGTATCACCAGGCTTGGATCTCCACTGTTTCATGCTGAAAACACACAGACACACATCTATTTTGATACCTTTTCATATTCCATTCTTCTTTATTTAGCAACATATCTACATTAGAGGGATGCACGTGATACATAGACACAGGTAGGCATTGCTCAGCGGCAGGGCCCCTGCTGATCCCATGTGTGGCCCTGAGTCTGAGGCCCAGCATCACAAACGTGAATGAATGAATGAATAAATGAATGAAGGGGTGAATGAACGAAAACTGCAAACCCAGCACAATGCTCAGTAACTTTTGAGTTGAATGGAACCAGATGATGTTATCTGGCTGACACCAAATTGCTGCTGGCGGAGATGACCAATTAGAGCTGATCTTGTCTGAGACATGCCTCGGGATGCTGCCATGTGCGGGGGTGACTCAGTTCTCCCCCACTTTTCCCTGTCTGCGTCCCTGCGCACTTCTGTTTGCACAGTGGGCTGTTACATCATTCGGACCTCACTTGGCTTCAGCGCATCATTTACACGTTCCATCCGCCTCTGTTCTCTCCCTGTTCGCCAGCAGCAATTAAAAAGGACTACTCCCCGCCAACTCAACCCTAGACACAAATGCAGACTCGGGCAGTGAGATTCCATGTCAACAGTAAACTGTAAGGGGGCCACGCTGACAGGGCTGACTGTGAACATAATTGCAGGGCTTGCTTACCATTCAAGCCTCACACACGGCTCTTCTTTCCTTTTCTTTCTTTCTTTCTTTCTTTCTTTCTTTTTTTTTTTTTTTTTTTTTTTTTGAGACAGGGTTCCTCCGTAGCTTTGCGCCTTTCCTGGATCTCACTCTGTAGCCCAGGCTGGCCTTGAACTCACAGGGATCCGCCTGCCTCTGCCTCTCCCAAGTGCTGGGATTAAAGGTGTGTGCCACCCGGCTCTTTTCTTTTAAAGGCAAGGTCTCATATATCCTAGGCCTGCCTTGAACTTCCGGTGCAGATGAGGGTGACCTTGAACTTTTGATTCTCGGGCCTCCACTTCCTAAGCACTAGGACTGTACATTACCATGCCTGGTTTAAGTGGTTGGGTATTAAACCCCGGACTTCATTCAAGCTAGGCAAACACTCTGCTAACTGAGCTACATCCTCAGCCCCCACACAGGGTCTTATTTATTCCTCTCCGCAGCCCAGTGAAACAAATATAACCCATTTTACAGATGAGAAAATTCAATCTTGAGCTGGACCTGATGTCATAGGCCTGAAATCTCAACTACATGGGAAGGTAAGCTAAAAAGTTTGCAAATTCTTGGTTGGGCAACTTAATGAGACCTTATCTCAAAGTAAAGAAAGGGGGCTGAGGATGTACTATAGCTCAGGGGCAGAGCTGGCCTAGCAGGGACACAGCTCTGCGTCCAACCCCCAGACCCACCAATAAACCACCTTTCTCCTGGTAACCCAAAGACTGAGAACTCGGCTCCGTCTTAGGGGCAGTGAATAACTTGCCAAAGGTACCTGTTTAGGAAGTGATGCCACAGTCTGAAGCTGTTGGTCTAACTCTGGGGACCACCAGGGCTGGTGGGTGGCAGGGCCAGGGACCCAACCATGGTCTTTGCCATCGGTTCCCCGCAACGGGAGCTCCCCTGGCCAGACCTGGAATGAACGTGGCCTGAGGCAGTGGATGGAGGGAAGCAAGGTGGTCGTGTCCCTGTCGGACGGAGCCTGGACTCCTGGAGTACTTCCTGCCGTCCTGGGTCAGAGCACTTCACCTTTAAGGGTGCCCATGTGACCTGGACTCCTCAAAGTGAGCAAACACACACCCCACAATGCCATTTAGAAGATAATGGCCCCTGTCCATGACTGTCACAATGACTCTGTGTCGGGTGCTGGCAAAGGACGGAGGTTTCTGGATGATCTTGCAGAGTCTTTGGCAGGCCAGCCTGGGCTTGGGGCTGGCAATGCTCAAGAGGAGGGTATGTCGCGCTGGGCGTATGCAGTTTAGTGGCAGAGCACTTGCCTGGCCCTCAGCGCGCGCGCGCACACACACACACACGTGCACATACCCACACAGAAAAGCACACTCACGGCCATTGTTCCCTGGCAGCACCCACTCTTCCCCTCCTGCCCCCCTCCCTCCCCCACCTCCTCTGTTCCTACTGCCCTTTGCTTATTCCCTGTTCCGGGCCTGTTGGCACCTGAAGCTGGAACTCCGTCTCCAGAAGAGGCACCGGGTAGCCAAGCAGGCCTGGAGTCAGGACCTCTAGCCAAACTCGTGTCCAGAGTCACAGGCAGACCTGAGGGTCATCGGGTTTCCTGGCATCAAGCAGATCCCTGGTTCCAGTCCCAAGACGGATGGCCCCTTCCTGAGCAACAGCCCCGGGTGGGTAGTTGTCCAGGAAGGTCACCCAGACACAGGCCGAGTCCCAGACCCCTGCACTGCCTCTCGAGGCAAGAGACTCCGGGAAAGGACCACAGAGCTCAAGGACACAGAGCAGGGCAGGTCTGAGGATGCCCACCCACTCCCGCTGTCTGGCGAGGCCAGGTAGCACCCCCGCTCCAGCCTGTGCCCCACAGGGCAGTCTGTCTGTGCTCTTCCTGGACTAACATAGTCAGCGGTAGAAGCCAAGCTCCCGGTAGCTCGAGGGTAGCTCGAGGGACGTGTCAACCACGAGCAGAGCTCAGGTAAGTGGCCCCACCTTGCAGTTCCTAACAGAACCGTCACTTGACTTGGGGTGAGCAGGGTGTGTATGGGGGAGGGGTTCCGATTCTTTCATCTGGGTCTGGTCTCTGCTAGAGTCTAAACGTTCCCTACTTAAAAACAAACAAACAAAAGCATCTTTTGTGCAGACACCACGGTCCTCACTCCTGTTCCCACCCTACCTTATTTACACCGTGCCGGGCCACACTGGCGACCCTGCTGCTTCTGTCTGTCCAGCCACCTTCCCACCACAGGGCCTTCGCACCAGCCCTACCTTTGCCACGGCTCTCTTCTTTCTTACCCGGGTGCCTGCACCCTCCTATCTTTCGGAACGCTTCTCTCCTGTCCCCATTTTTAACTACTGTGTGTTAAAAAGCGTGCATGGTACGTGGGCCGCCTTCATCGCTTCCCTTTCCCCCAGCATTTTCCGTCACTGGACGCACTGTAGACTCTTTGTTTGCTTATTACCTTTCTTTCCCTAGAATATCAGGTCCAGGCAGGCAGAGGTTGCTCTGTTTTCTTCACTGCTGTATCTCTAATGACTAGAAATGTGCCAGTCACCCAGTAGACAGTGCATCAATATTTGCTGAATGAATAACTTCACAGCAGAAAACTTGTTTCTACATAAAAACACAAAGAAGTAGAAAATGCCTAGAAGGTAGGCATGGTGGCATATGCCTGTAGTCCCAACAACACCCAGGAGGGAGAGACAGGGAGATCAGGAGTTCGAGATCAGCCTCAGCTACACAGTAAGTGTGAGGCCAACCTGGCCTCTGAGACTCCCTCAAAAGAACTACAAAACAAAGCTGACTGCTGTGGCCCCCACCCTCCACCCCCACCCCCATTTGGGAAGCAGAGGCAGGCAGAGAGCTGAGTCAGAGGCTAGTCTGGTTTACATAAGGGGTCCAGGTCAGGGAGACCCTGTCTCAAACAGACAAACAAAAAAAATCAAACCAAAGGGGCTGGAGAGATGGCTCAGTGGTTAAGAGCACTGGCTGCTCTTCCAGGGGACTTGGGTTCAATTCCCAGCACCCACAAGGCAGCCCAAAAGATGCCTAGACTCTGCCATCCTTCCAGATGAGCTCGTTGGAGACATTCAAGTGGAAGCTAAATGGCCTTTAGGTGAGGGATTATGGAAAGATGTGTCAGATGGAGGTAGTATTAGGAACATTAAATTTCCCTGCTCAGTAGCCCGGCAGTGGTAGGTAATCCTGGCACTTGGGAGGTGGAGACAGGCAGATCTCTGGGCATTCCAGGCCAGCCTGGTCTACAGAGCAAGTTCCAGGACAGGCAGAGCAACACAGAGAAACCCTGTCTCTGAAAACACACACACACACACACACACACACACACACACAATGTATATATTCCCTGCTCAGGAAACTTCTAGAAGTTTGCAGAATATCTCCCCTTTCCTGAGTTATTCTCTGGAATTTTGAGACCATAGATGAGGCTTTTCCCTTGGGTGGGGAGCCCTACGACCCAGAAGGCTTGGGAAACAGGGTGGAGTGGACCCACCCATCACAGCCAAACAAGACTGTCTCACGAGGAAACAGTAGAGCCTTCTCAGGGCTCGGCAAACAGACACGGGTGGGGTGCCGCCAGCCTTCGTGTGCACCAACCCGGGTTTAGTGGAGGAATGCAGTCCCGATGGACACGGGAAGCCTCAAACGGGTCCTCCTCCACCTACTACACATCCTAACATCCCACCATTAGCGCCACTCAGGTTTCTGAAATTTTGTTTGAGACAGGGTTTTGCTGTGTGACATTTTAATGGTCCAGGCTAGTCTCAAACTAAAGGTAGTCTCTCTGCCACAGCATCTCACGTGCTGGGATTACAGGTGAGCCACCACACCTCGCTAGTGTTCTGCTTATAGTGTGAATGTGGGGTGTGTGTGTGTGCGTGTGTGTGTGTGTGTGTGTGTGTGTGTGTGTGTGTGTGTGTGTGTGTGCATGCACATCCAGGTGTGGGTGGAGGCCAGAGGCTAACCTGAGGTATCATTGCTTGTCTTACTAAGACAAGACCTCTCATTAACACATGAGTCTCCTGCTTAGAGCCTCAGGATCTGCCCTCTGGCTCCAGAGTTCTGGGATAACAGGCATGTCACACCACCTTTATTTCCTGGTGCTGGATTGTGGACTCAGACCCTGCAAACACTTTAAGGACTGAGCCATCTCCCCAGTCCCACTTTTCTGCTTTTAAAATGTCCTCATGGGGCTGATGGTGGCCTGGGCATCGAGTGTTTGCCTAGCAGAAGAAAGGATTCCAGTCCAGTCCCCAGCACCTTCAAACAAACAAGAAAACCCAAACCAGAATCTGCTCCAGGGAGGCCATGTGCTCTGCTATGGCGGCCACAAAAACCAGGTCTGAATTTGCATGGCATCCCTGACAGTGGGTGTTTGCTGAGGTAATGGGAAGCGGGGACACTGCTAGGTCAGGAGGTGACCTCAGAGTGCTGCTCTCCATGACAGGAGTCCTCAGAACGGAGGCCTCCAGACAATGGTTGTGACCTCATGAATAACCCTCAGTGCGGGCCCTGGCCCTTATCTGGGGCAGGAAGTGGCTACAGGAAACCTGAACCAATGAGAAATCCCCGCTATGCAGCTTCTTCCTCAGGACTCATCTTCACAGAAATAGGTTACTGGGACATCTCACCTATGAGGAGCATTAGGGGAACTTCTTGAGGGTTCACTGAAACAGGCCACCTGAGCATCCTAGCTAAGCAGATTCTCAGCCGAGGTCATCACTTCTTCATCGGAGCCTGAGGCAGGCATTGTCAGTCCATCAAGAGGGACGGAACCCTTTGTCCAAAGTGTTCCAGACATCCCCTGCTGCTCTGTCAGGATTGACCCATGAGCCCTGGGTGTGGTGGCCCATGACTAGAAACCCAGTGCTTGGGAGGCTGAGGGGAGAGGGCTGCTGTGACTCCAAGGTCAGCTCGAGTTACACAGGGACTTCCAGGCCAGTCTGGGATAGGCAGCAAGACCCTGTTTGTTTTGTAGGCTGGGAGCTGTGGCCCAGGCCTGAGGTTTGGTGTCAGGATGGTGGGGCCAAGAGAAAGTGCCAATGTGTGACATGCCGAGCAGAGGATGCCATGCCAGCCCTCCATGTCAACAAGCGGGGTGTGAAGAAGTCCCAGGGTGCCTGAGTGACCTTATAAAATTTGGGCTTTCTCAGTTCCATGAGTCAGTTGGGCAGCACTGGACAGATGTTCGGAGGCCCAGAGCCCAGATGGGCAGCTGACTCCTCCAGTCCATTTGAACCTCTAGCCTCAGGGCCTGTGTCCTAGGCTGATCCCACAGTACCAAGAATGGTATCTCTGCTGGGTGTGTGACGTGGGTGACACACGTGTCCGGTCTCTTGGATTAACCCTCCAGGTACAGATGGCACTCAACACCGCTGAGCGAGTTTGCCTTAGGGTGGTCCCCACGGCGGACAGGTCATCTCTACCTCAGATTCCTGATCCTCCGCTGCTGAGGAATCCGACCCAGAAATAACTTTGTGAAGCCTCAGTTTCTTCATCCATTAAGTGGGGATGACACCTCCCCCTGAAGCGATGTCACAAGAATGGGGTGGACTACTTTTATAGGACGTTTGGCATGATGCCTGCCACACACCAGGTGTTCACACAGGACAGTTGGCAAGATGGCTGACTGGGAGACTTCTCCAGTCTGCGGCCCATACCTTCGTGTGGGAACTGCTACCTCACACCTGTTGAGTAGACACCGGAGCCGGAATACATTGGCCAAACTTGGAGGGTGAGAAAAATTTTCTCTATGTGGGAAATGGTGGAGAGTGTTGTTCGTGTGTGTGTGTGTGTGTGTGTGTGTGTGTGTGTGTGTGTGTGTGTGTAGTTGAGGCCCCTCCCTTTCCTGTCTTCTGTCTTTCCAGAGAGGATTCTTCGTATCTTCTGGGACCAGGGTGGGTAGCCTCAAAATGTTCCCAGTTGGAAACAGGAGAGAGCTGCCCATTCTGCCCCAACCTGTACCCCTGGCCATTCGCAGGTCCTCAGTCCCACATGCCCACTCATATCACCAGAGAGGAATGGGAGGCTCTGGGGGGGGGGGAGGATGTTTTGTTGTTGTTTATATCGATTTACTTATTTTTCTTTTGAGACAGGGTCTCTCTAAGTTGCCCAGGCTGGACCATGAGCTCGTGTTTCTGCCCCAGCCTCCCCAGTGTCTTTGAGTTAGGCCTGTATTCCCTACCAGGCCTAGTTATCTGCTGTCTGTTCTCGGTGTGTGGATCTGAGATTCCTTTCTGCTGTGCATGTTATCACCAGCTGCTGCTTTTCATCCTACGTTATGGAGCAGTAGACCAGTCGAGAGCAGTTATCCAGCACGTGCGAGGTGCTGGGGCCTATTCCCGACCCTGAAAAACAAACAGGAGCCTGGGCTTCTTGTCGCTTGGCGAAGGCTTGAGGCTGGATCTTATTTTCTTCTGTCAAACTTTTTCTTCGTAACAATGATTTGCATTAAAAAAAAAAAAAAGTCAGAATAGCAGGCCAGCCTGGTCTAATGCCAAGTTCCAGCAGGGCTACACAGTAAGACCCTGACCCACATACACACACAAACACACAAAAATCCAATAGCTCAATAAACACGGCCTGTGCTCCATCCACCATCTTCCATCCCGCCCCATCAGGGACCCAGAGCCTTGAACATACAAGGCAAGGGCTCAGAAAACCCAGCCCTGCTCCCACTGTGGAACCAGGTGATGAGGCCTCAGGCCTGGACTGCAGCTGTGAACTCAGCAGGCGACCTTGTATCTAAAGACGTCAGCCTAGGGTGGGGCGGGTCCATGCTCAGGGTCAGCTTCCTTGGAAAACCTTCTCCCAGTCACCCGAGGAGACCTCGGTCTCCTCGTATCAAAGGTATCTGGGGAACTGGGCCAGATGGAAGGATGGTGACCAGCAAAGGTGACATTTTCCCCACATCCTTTGCTTCACTTGGTCCCTGCTGAGTCAGAGTCCTTTGGAGAACTAGGAGGATGTGGCTCTCTGAACGGTCCCTGAGGCCTGGGAAGGTGTGGAGAGAAGGCAGGAAAAGGTGAGAAGAAAGTTCAACAGAGACGCCTGTGTCCCCACCTGTACGGTCCCCTCCCTCTCAGACCTCGCTCATCACGCTGTGGCCACAGATGTGCCCCTGTCCGGGACTCTCCCACTCCACACAGTTCTGAAGTAGCTTAGGTGAGGCAGATCTGCCCGGACAGAGCGCTGGTGACTGACCTGAGGCCAGCAGTTCCCTCCATGGTCTGCACTTGCCGAGACTGGCAGGGCTCTTGACCTTTGGGCGGGGACAGTTCTTTGGGTGTGGCTGTCCGTATCTCTATTTGGCAGGTAAAGACACCTCCTCCAGTCTAACAACTTGAAAAGACTTCTTCGGGGGTGGGAGGGGAGAGGCTGCCTATAAGGCCAGCACTGGAGAGGCAGAGGCTGGAGAAGGATCAAGCTTCATAGGATGAAGCTGGCCAGAGCTTCGTAGGATGGCCCTCAGAAATCAACAAAAGGGTCCCTGCCTGGTGAGGATGGGGCAGGACCCACGTCCAGATGTTCTAGGATCGTGCCACAGCAGACTCCTGGTGAAATCCTAATCTAGTGCAGTGTCCACTACCTCAGAA